GTAAAAATCTAGGTGAATACCATGATCTCTATCTTAAAACTGATGTACTTAGTCTAGCAGATGTCTGGACAGAGTTTCAAAAAAGGTCTATGGAATATTATGAACTTGATCCCAGTCACTATGTTTCTGCCCCATCACTATTCTGGGATGGAATGCTTAAAATGTCAGAAGTTAGAATTAAACTTTTCACAGATATAACCATGCATGATTTTACTGAAAAAGCTAAGTGTGGTGGTATATCTATGGCCTGTCAACAATATTTTAAGGCTAATAATCCTAAAATGGAAGAAGTCTATGACCTATCCAAACCCACATTCTGGATATTATATGTAAACGCAACAAATCTTTATGGACATTCTATGAGTTAATATTTGCCTATCAGAAAATATCAATGGAAAGCTAATTGGAAATATTTACTAAAAATCCAGCTATACAGAAGAAATATTTTGAAAAGATTCTCAATATACGATCTGATGCTAAACGAGGATATTTCTTAAATATTAATGCTCATTTTTCTTTAAAGACTCATGATTATTTAAAAGACTTACCTCCAACTGTAGAAAATATCGTTGTAGAAAAGGATTGGTTAAATTCTTATAATGCTAAACTTGTAGAATAATTAGATGGTAGACGCTTCTTTGCCACAAAAAAAAATAGTTTCCCATCTTGAATCACGAAAGAACTATGTCATCCATTACCAAGAGTTCCAATATTATGTAAAATTAGTTATGGTTATAGATGAAGTTTCAGAGATACTCTCCTTCGACCAGACTAGCTGGCTTAAACCATACATATTTTTTAATACTAAGAAACATAATGAGGCCAAAAAGCTGGATATACATTCCTGAGTGACTTTTTCAAACTTATGAATGTATCAATATATGGCAAGACTATAGAAAATATTCGCAAGTACCGGATGTCAAGATTATAAGAATAATAATAAGCGAGATGAAAAAGCTTTCTTAAATAAGATCTGCATACCATCTTTCAAGTATGGTAGACCACTAGGACCTATATTAGTAGGTGTTCATATGTGAAAGGCTAGCGTGACTCTCAACAAGCCTATCATAGTTAGAGCATCTGTTTTGGGACTTAGCAAGCTTCACATATATAAATTTTGGTATGGTTATTTGAAGGAAAAATATGGAGATGATGTTGAACTTAGCTATATAGATACAGACTCTTACATCTTCAAAACTAAGATTGAAGATATCTATAAAGATATGATTGAATGACCAGATCTCTTTAATCTTAATGGAGATCAAACAGTTGGCAAATATAAGGATGAGATCCCAGGTAATGTGATCACGGAATCATTTCAAATCTGATCTAAGTCTTACCATTATGTCTTAGCAGATAAGATCACAAATTCAAGACATAAGGGGGTTAGTAAGAAGGGCATGTGTGAAATGGTTACAGATACATATATACCGAAATTAGCTGGTTCATTGTTTGATGATCTGGTAGACGAATTCAAAGTATTAGATTCTATGACCCAAGTATATCGAGATTGTCTCTTTGGTAAAGAAGTATTTTACGTCAAGAATGTAGGCATCTAATTAAAAGATCACGTACTATCCCTAGTTGAGTTTGAGAAAAGGCTCTCGGTCTCTTAAATACTAAGCATTGGTATCTAATAGATGGGGTATCTGAATTACCTTATGGGTAGGTTTGGGAATTTTGTATGTACTAGATACAATTACCATTGTACTTGTACTGTACTTGTACTAATTTTTATATTAATTATTATAATGTACTAACTGTACTAATTGTACTAATTATTGTACTAACACTGTACTTTCCAACCCTGCTTATGGGCATTGGCGTAATATGATTTATAAGAATATGATCAAAGATAGTATCCCTCATGAAGTGGCCGAAAAAAGAGCTATAAAGGCAAAGCTCCCAGAGAAATATCAAAATGAAAGTGTATTTCACATATTTAGCTCACTCTAATAAGCTATTAGTAAAAGAAGAGACCTAGCGTAGTTGAGCAACAAGATGCTCAGGAGTATTATTATTATATATTTTTTTCTTATATAATAAATATTTGATTACAGAATACTTCTCTATAATGGAATGCAAATAAGAGCAAATATCTAATAGCACATATAGCGAGTATGAGAAAGGCATAATAAAAAAGCTAATGAAGTTATCAGAACTTGAATATTATACAAGAACGTCTCCAGCAATTGATAAAAATCCAGTGTTTTTATTGGAGAAATTGTAGCATTAATGATAAAAGTGGATAAACTTAATTCTCAGTTCAAAAGGCTTGAAAGAACTGTAGACTGAATAAGAAATTATGTAGAAGAGCAACTGGTCTAGAACCTGGTAAAGAGCTAACAGATTCATCTAAATCTGATTCAGATTAAAAAATCAAAGGTGTTTAATAGTATTCATAAATAATGTGTATGTAATTTGGTCACATGATACTGCTTCCTTAGGGCTCAGTGTCAGATGACATCCAATGGAAATCCACGTGGTATCACATGATTACGCAGTAATATTCAGACAATCTGATTGGCTAAAACATAATATAGAGTATATTTTTTTACCTGAGCTTTGGAGGATAATATCTCGACTTTTACTGATCAGATTTATGCAAATTTAAGCTTATTGGAAAGATCAGAACCTGCTGAATCCAATAGTTCAATCCTTATCGATGTTGAGATATTTGCGTTCCAAGATCATTACGGTAAATCAGACTTTTATAATTATCATCATAAGCAAAATAAACTGCGCTACTGTAACTATGGTGGTCACACCTCTTCTATTGAGAATAATAAATTTTATTATATCTAGTTTTTATACAAATAAAGATGATTCTGCTATCCAAAAAAAATATATATTCTGCTCATATATTCATAGTTCTATTAATCTAGTTTGATCTTAGATATGATATTTACCACTAGAATACTATTATTTACTGGTGAAACATTATTATTTAATGACAAGACATTATTATGCACTGTTATTCACTGATGAGACACTATTATTCACTATTAGAGTACTGTTATTGCAATTATTTTTTGCCTTCATATGTTGAATTAGCCAGTATAAATATTGAAACTCCTTTTCACAATACTGATATGTATAGTCAGCTAGTTTTTTTTTATGGGTTCTGATTCCTTCTTTTTTATAGTAAAGACATTACGCTGGGATTTGTGAATTGATAGAGGAATAGTAATAGTCTTTCTATTACATGTAGCCTTAAATTCTCCTTTTATTAAAAACTCCTATCCAGCTCGATATTGGCATTGAGTACCAAGAATTACTAAAGATTTAGCATTTCCATTCCGATCCTTTTCTGCAGGTACAACAGAAACATCATCCATGATAGATGCTGTATTTTCTCCAAAACCAATTATTATGAGAATATTATCCATAGTACCAGTTGACTTGCAACCTCATTAAGCCTATGAATTTTTTCCTATTAATTTTAATACCTAAAAACTCTTCAACAAGCTCAGCAATATTATCAAAAAATATGGAAGAATTAGAACCTGTATTAATCATTACACAAGGTATTACCAAACCTTCTATTTTGCAATAAATAGTCGCAATATCATCAGTATTCATAAGTCGAATGCTGATAAATCAGATACCTTCCTGATTGGTCACTATTTTTTGATTAGCAATCAATAGATAGAAATCAGTAAATACTACAATCGGGTATGAATCGGTTAACGAAATTTGTTATGATTTGTTTAAACGAATTTCATATAACAAATCAGTTAACAAAATTCGTTATGATTCATTTAAATGAATTTCGTATAACAAATTGGTTAACGAAATTCATTACGATTCGTTATATCAAATTTCGTTAAAGAATTGTTAAACAAAATTCGTTAATGATTCGTTAAACAAAATTTCATTACGAATCAGTTAACAAAATTCATTACGATTCGTTTAAATAAATTTCGTTATGAATTGGTTAACGAAATTTGTTATGATTCATTTAAATGAATTTCATATAACAAATCATTTAATGAATTTCATAACAAATCGTTTAACAAATTTCGTTACGATTCATTGTAATAAAATTCGTTACGATTCATTTAAACGAATTTCGTTATGAATCGGTTAACGAAATTCATTACAATTTATTATAACGAATTTCATTAAAAAATTGTTAAACGAAATTCGTTAACGATTTGTTAAATGAAATTTCGTAAAACAATTCATTACAGATTTCACTGAATGATTCATTATACGAATTTCATTTAAACAAATCGTAACGAATTTCATTAACTGAATCAGTGTGTAAAATCTATGTGCACAATGTGCACATGTGCACATTAATTTTTTGTGTGCACATATTACACAACATAA